GTTGGCCGCACCTCGGAAAAAAAAAAACCCTCCGCCGGTTTAGGGTTTAGGGTTTTCGGTTTAGGGTTTAGGGTTTGAAACAGGGTTTGGCGCTTTATTATAGCATAATTTGTCTATGGGAGCTTGAGGAAGTATTCAGGTTTTTGTAGTAGTGCCCATGGGTTGGTTCCGTTGGTGGCGGTTAGGCCATTGTTCTGTGGAAAAATCTGAATCGCCGCAGTACTTACTTTTGGGAAGTCATTCTGGGTGTTCCTCTGCACGTCGCATGCTAAGGGCGATCTCCCAAACTATAAAATCGAAATCTTTTCGAGCGAAGAAAGGGCGGATGACTTGATATCGGACCCTCTAGCACCCCCCAAGTACCCTTTAATAGAGATCGCATGGTCCTTAATTGTGGGCATGTTGGCTAACAGAGACCCTGAACAGTAGGATCCCTGTCGCCAGGACACCTGACATGGTCGGGAGCTTCGGGGTTCGATGCTTTGGGCATTAGTCAATGTAGGCGTCGGAATGGGATAATTTGCTATCGCACAGTTCCCTCAGTTTACAATATGTTTAGACTCGCTCCATCTGTCTATCTATCTACCTACCTATCTATCTATCTATCTATTTACCGATCTATCTATCTATCTGTCACTGTCTATCTATCTATCTATCTATCTATCTATCTAGATCGTCATTCCGCCCAACCCTATTCTCATGTTTATTAGTTATTAAAGCACCCACAGAAGATCGCCTCAGTTCTCTTCCTTAAGCCAAGGCTTTGCATATCCGAAGTTCACGTGTTTGAAGCCCGACCCCTGACACACAAAGTTGCCCTACGACCCCCCTTTTGGAACATTTCCTGCGCTGGTGACAAGGAGTTGAGGGAACACTTTGTGAAGGAGCTCGTAGCTGCAGAGGCCTCTCTCTCTCTCGGGTTCAGGGTTACAGTTTCTGTCTTAGGGTTATTGGGTCATAATAAGAGGCCCGGAAAATTGGTGATCGTATTCCCTTGTCCTCGTCGTCCCGATATTGTGACAATAGGCATAGAGCTTCTTTTATGTTTCGGTGCTTGTTTAGGGTTCTGTGCACCTACCTGGACCCTAAAGTTTGAAGGACTTATACAAGGAAATCATAATAAAGGAACCCTTGAAAGGCGGCTTCTTTAGGTTTTCAAAGGGTGATAAGACAAGAAGTGCGAAGGCCTGAACACGTAATGCTACACCCTTATGCTCCCATATGACCTGTCTTATTATAGTACTCTCAATCTTCTAGGCCCCTGAGCCCTAGACTTGAAACCCCTAAACGCAAAGAGTGATTTCCTGGAGCTTGCCAGGCTCCTTGCTGCTGCATCAAGTACCGGGCCCTTTGTGAAACTCCTGTCGGATGTTTTGGCCCACCTGCAGGCGCACCTACGCCCATGGAAGCTACTCGCCACGGTGCGTGTGACAGTTGCTCAAATCAGCTCCTTGCTGGCGCAGTATCACACCCTAAGGGTCCATGTACCCAAATAGTATATACTTTGGCCTTAAAGTAGTCCCTAAAAAGGTACTTTGGGGCCAAAGTATATACTATTTGGGTACATGGACCCTTTGGGACAGACCCGGGACATTGCAGCGACGCACAGACTTCGTGCCGTGCTCGCGATTGCGAGAGCCGGATCAGAGGATCGAAGACTTCGCCGAAGAAGTGATGGGTGCAGTGAGAGTGAGCGCCGAAGCACAATGAACGGGTCGGTAAGGCACCGAAATAGAATCCTAGGCGCAGGTTCGGGTGGATGTCACTCTAGATCGGAAGGCATGAAGTTTGGGGCTTTCGGGGTTCAGGGCCTCCGTTTCTGACATAAAACAGTGTTGAGGTTTTTCGGTTAGGGTTTGGGGGTTTAGGGTCTTTGTGCTTAGGGAATGTTCCTCTACTGGAAGAAGTAGTCATCAAGGTTCCGGGTGTAGGACCAATTGGGAAGGTCTGTCGCGACAGACCTATGTAGAGTCCTAGACTCCCACACTTTTCGTCCGACCTAAGACTAATACAGAAGCCTAAATGTTTGGAAATGGCTTTCTCTTATACTCCCTGCATTGTGATATCGTATACCCAAATAACCTTATTCTGATTATCAAGGCCTGTAGGCGTTTCTGGCTCGGGCTTGGTCTCAGGTTTAACAGCTGCACTTGTGAAATAAAAAGCCTAGCTACACGAAAGAAGCGCATGCAACGCTCAACCCTGAACAGAGCTTGTTCGAAACAACGTTTCCGATGTACCTCCCAGAGGAAACAATTAAGTTAAGTTCCAGCTGTTCGTTGGTTGAGGGCTCGATGTCAAGATTCAAGATACAATGCAAAACCCCAAACCCATTTCGACCAGGTTGCCAATGTCATGTCGGCGTCTCTGGATTGAGTTTGATTCGATATTCGTCTCGCAAGTAAGAATTTCAAGTTTAAGGACATGATACATTCGTCATTCACTGTTGTATACTTACCTACTGTCATCTTTGCTAGCCTGAGTGGGGCAGGGCCGCATGCTGAACCAAGAGTCCTCGGTGCGCCAGTTCGCGCGCTTCCGGCCAGTTAACTTCCTGTGTGTACATGCAAAGTTTGGGATGTTGTTGTGTGGGGTTTCGAAGACGAGCGTTTTCGTTTTGCGGGGTGGGGGGGGGGGCCTTTGTGGATTGCTGAGGAGTTTTGAGAACTCCAGGAGTCAGCCAGGCAGGCTTTTCATCACCATATTCTTCTGCTCAGTGAGGGCAGGGCAGTTTGCCAGGAAACAAGGATTTGTCGGTCTAAGCTTTGCCGTCAGCCCCAAACCCTGTGTAATGAGAAGTCACCGCCATTCATTCGCCCTTGTTTGAGGGTCTTGCCCCTGGCATATATACTACACTGTACTACACAGGTAAAGTATTAAGCGCCGAAAAGTAAGTCATTGGCCCTCATGCAATGGTTTCTTGCTCAAAACAGGGAATTAGCATCACAAGCAGAGCCTACGACCCTAAGTTTACATGAATAGGGCTTTGAGGATTTATGGTTTCAGTGTTTTGGGCTTTGGGGGTTTTTAGATGGTATCATTTTTCTAGGTTTGCTCTAGCGTTCGATCAAGAATGAGCTCAAGGTCAAGGGGGTAAAGGCTGAGCCTGGCATGCAAATGGGAGTTTCCGAAAATAAGGGATACCTTATTTGGGGCTCCTTGTAGTAAGGATCCTACTATTTAGGGTGCTATATGAGGGTCCCCTATTTTCGGAAACTCCCAAATGGTTCAGGTCAAGTCTGAGACAGGCCATGAGACAATCCAGATCAGGGCTGAGCCAGGCGCCCGGGAGACAATCTGTATCCGTGAGGATGCAGAGCTGGAGAAGCTGAAACAAACGAAGAAGCTGAAACAGAGGGAATGTGAACACAATCGGAAGAACGAGTATAGACCAAGACGGGCACCACATCGACTGCAGAGAACAAAACCTTGAGCTGCAGACACGCTGACCTTGGCTGCAGAGAACAAGACCTTGACGGAGGAGATGGCCACCTTGACCACAGAGAACGAGACCCCTATAAGGGTCCATGTACCCAGACAGTATATACTTTGGCCCCACAGTACCCATAAATATAGGGACTACACTAAGGCCAAAGTATATACTATTTGAGTACATGGACCCTTAGAGGAGCTTAACTGTAGAAATGGCCCAGTTGAAAGAAGACCATCGTCTGTCTGTCGATGCGCAGAAAGCTTCAGAAGCGCGTCAGAGAGCCGGAGAAGCGACCAAAGGAGATCGAGGCATACGTGCCCCAGACATCCCGGACCACACCTAAGCCGAGTGGTCGCAAGCGCACGTGCGACTGGGGTCATGTCCTCTTTACATGCCATACCATCCAAAGCTATTTGCTATATGATCCTGTGACACATGTTGTGTCCAGATGTTCCAAGTGACAGGACATAGAAATGACCCCGAACCTAACTTCGGGGTTACATAGGGTTTAGGGTCCTTATAAACAGATTCGGAGTCTCACCGAGGTCGAGTTTGTGTATCGGAACAAACCATTGGAAAACGTGTAGTAATTAACATTGAACCTTTTTGCATGTACTAGATATCAGAATAAAGGCGACATGAATAATACCATGACACACAAACCCAAACTAACCCCACACGCCCTAAATCTCAAGACCTAAACCCCAACTCCAAAAGCCTTAAATCTGAATCCTGGAGGATGTTAACCTCAAGCCCCAGTGGCCCAAGCCCCGGAAGCGCGGCAGGACGGAGCAAGCTGGGCAGCTTTGGGTATCGGTGCAAGATCTGCAGGACCCCGGCCCCTCCCGTAAGCTTAGGATTTAGGGTTCCCTTCAGGTTCTATGAGGGTAAGCTTAGGGTTTGGCGGTTCGGTGGTTCAGAGAGTTTTTTTCCGCGAGAGACAGGGAGAGGGGGCATGGGTTTATGCTTTAGGGTGTGCAGGGCGAAGAATATTTTGTTTAAGTAAGCCTTCAGTGATCCTTGGGTTCAAAGCAAAGTTCAAGTCATTCATTAGACCCTTATGTTTCAACCTCAGCCCTATATCGGTGGTTCTCTAAATTAGGGTCCCTTTAAGGGTCCTTTTATAAGGGTGCCGTACTATATTGGCGACCTGAAAAAGGGAATCTAATTTAGAGAACTACCCAAATACTAAAACCAATCTCCGTTTTGTTAGCTCACACTGTTCTCCTTGGCGGTGTTTGCACGGCTGGGTGGTGGTGCTGGTGGCTGTGAGAGTGACGACGACGGTGTGCACACCGGTCAGACGATTATTCTATGCTCGCTGCCACTCGCAATGACATATTTCGAGTCATTGCCATGTTAAGTGGTCATAATGTGTTACGAGTATGTTCTTTTCATACTACTCAGTTAGGTTTCGGGGCCGATCTAAGGTTTGGGCATGTCAGTCTTCGAGCGAATGAGGGGTTGAAGTCTTGGGCATGTAACTGCAAGTGATGACGCAATAAATAATAACAATAATAATAATAATGGATACCCTGGCTTGTTGCAAGGTTTCTGCCTGGACCATGCAAGCAGTATTATTGGCATTTAGCGTTTCAATGCCCTGAAGTAGGTGCCCAATCGTAGCTCCACCAGTTTCGGAAGGATGAACTGAAGCATAGCTTTCAGGGTCCAGAATAGCAAAGAGGGGTATAGATCCGAAATAGTTCTGAATCATATGAAATAGAGCCTGCAACCCGGCAGTCATGCCCTCCCTAGGTTTACAAATTAACAACGGTTCTAGGGTTTAAAGTGTAGGGCCTAACCCTAAACCCCTAAACCCTAAACCCTAAACCCTAACCCTAAACCCTAAACCTTCTCGGGTTTAAAGTGTAGGGCCTAACCCTAAACCCTAGGGCCCCCTTGATAACACTCGCACCAGGAAGCCACAAAGAAGTTGGAGAAGCGGACAGCCGAGCTGGCAGACACGAGCTTGCCCATCGGCTGAATCCAGAGAGACCTTAAAAACCCTAAACCCCAAACCCTGACAGATTGATATCTTGTTTCAAACTTTTAACCTTAACAGATTGATGTTATGTTCTAAACTCTAGCAGATTGATTTCCTGTTCTAAGATATATTCCTTAATTAACGGGTACTGTATTGGGATCTGCAGAGCCTGAATGAGATTGGAATGAGGTACCCCCAAGAAGAAACGAGAGACTCCTCATGAGGATCTTTTGGCCTTAAGCAATGGTTCTATAAAGGCTTCTATACGCTGTCATAACGTGTATATATATATATATAGATAGATATAGAACAAGTATGTGTATATATATATATATACACACCCATGAATGTACCTTTTTTAACTGGCTGTCCCCTGCTGTCCCTCTGAAACACCAGGGCAGGGGGCCCTTTCTGTTCTTTGAAGTTTTGATGGGGCATTACTATGTTTTTAGGCGGTTAGCGACAGTGAGAAGTCAGAGGTTCGACCGATTGGCGCACCGTACATGCTCATATCATCTCATGTCTGTCCTTATGTATCCATGATGGTTTGGGGCTCTGGGGCTTAGGGGGTTTATTTTAGCAGTCTTCCGTGACATTGAGTTCGGTCGAGGTTGAAGCCTCAACCCTGAGCCCCGTACACCCGCGCACGAGTGATGAACATGTTCTGAAATGTTCGATGCGTCTCCACCGGGTTCAAAAGGGTTTGTGAGCATCTCAGTCAAATCCTTAACTAAACAACCTACCTTTTCAGGGTTCCTTATTCTGATTTCCTTATACATTCCTTAAGAGTAAGTTCAGGGTCCAGGTAACCAAGGCATCTCAAAGCGTGCACGGGACGCTGCATGCTGAAGCGTGGAGATGAGTTGCCTTTGCAGTAGACTCAAGCGCTTGGACTCAGAAATCAGACCGGGCTGACGTAACAGGCGACTCCACAGTAATGGCTGGCGTTGTTTTCCTATCCCGCTCTCGCTCTCGCGCTCTCTCTCTCTCTCTCACTCTATCTCTCTCTCTCTCTATTTCTCTCTCTTTCTCTCCCTCTCTCTCTCTCTCTCTCTGTCTCTCTCTATCCCTTTCTCTCTCTCTCTCTCTCTCTCTCTTGCGCATTGTCTCTTGGAGTTCTACGTGCGCAAACATCGCATTACAACAACTTCTTTCCGCACTCGCACGCCGAGGTCTATATCTATATCTGCTCAGGTATAAAGGGGGCTCCGAACCTGTCGACCTGAAAAAAGCCCGATGCCTCGACCCTACAACCTCATGTAGGAACCTGATTAAGAAACCCTGGCCTATAATCCCGAAATCTTAGGCCCATATTATAAAGGACCCTAATCAAAACCCAGGGATTTTTTGACCACGTTCCTACATGACGTAAAGAGCAGTGGGATGCTGTGGGACTTAGCAACAGAGGCTAGAAGTAAGGTAGCAGAACCTAATACTTAGCATGTAACCCCTGAGGAAGGTCTTTTTATCAAACGCTAAACCCTAACCCTAAACCGCCCTAAACCCTAAACCCTGAACCGCCGTAAACCCAAGCTAAGTCCCATGAACCGGCAAGTAGAGCCCTGAGCCAAACCGGAAGCTCGAAGGCCGAAACCTTCTAAATCTTGACAGAAGCCAGAGAGCCCAATACCCCTTAAATAGGGAATATAGCTTAAATCTCAATATATGAAGCCCCTTGTAATTTAAGCTATATTCCTTAATTAAGCTGTATTGGGCTTTATGGGAAGCCTTTGGTTCGGGAATCAGGGTGTGGGGTTGAGGTGTTTGGGTTTGATATAGGGGCCTAAATAATTGCCAATTCTATTTTGGGGGTTCTTCACTATAATTATAGTAGAAAATACCCTAAAACCTTATTCTAATGATTAGGGCCCCTACACTACAGCTTAGGGGCGAGGTTTGAGGGTTTAGGATCTTGTGTAGAAGCCCTCTTCAGAAGCTCCTAGAACGCTGCACCCGTCCTCCAGGGCATCGGCAGGATCGTCTCAACCAAAGGCCAGCGGATGGCTCTGTCTCTCATTGCCTAGAGAGCCCACGGTTTAGGGTTCAGGGTTTAGGGTTTAGGGTTCAGGGTTTAGGGTTTAGGGTTTAGGCTTCCTGACTAGTTTTGGAGCATGTCTTGCATCATGGTATTCAGCCCCCTATTCCCCTAAGGCTCCATGTGCCCATATAGTATATACTTAGGCCTTAAAGTACCTCTATGGGGACCCCTTAAAGGCTTAAGTTTCTACTCTAAGGGTACATGGAGCCTTTGGGTTCAGTACGGTATATCTTTTCATTGCAGTGCATTGGGCTCTCCGGGTGCGCACATGTTTTGTTAGGTTTGCGAGTTCAGGGCTTCAGAATTTGATTTAGTGTTTGGGGGTTCAGGGCCTAACTAACAGACTTTGGACGCTACTAGCCTCATGGAAGGTGTAATGTATGGGTGGACTAGTGAGCGAGGCTGGCAGTCAACAGTAGCCAGTAGTCCTTTGAAGGCGCTACAGCAAGCATCTGGCAAAATACTCCAGAGTCCTATTGTAATGCTTAATATAAGGCTGCGGTACTCCATGGCCATGACGCGCGACACGGCGCATTTCGCTTGTGCTGGTTATGCGCCACAAGTTTTCTCCATGCGCATGTACCGGTATTGAGGAAGCGCGGCCCCAACATGCGCCTTCACCAGCAGGTTGCTTTGTAGAAGGACCCTTCATGTCCCACCCTCCAACTTTAAGCCTCAATTCTCTGAGGAATGGCTGTCGGCATCCTCCCCACATGGCCTGGGTCAATGTTTCGCTCAACATCAACATCTCTTCAACCGTTAACCCCCGCAATCTTGGATCCTAAATCAAGCTAAAGACCTCGAATCATACACACCAGCAGCCCTTATGTAGCAGTTTGAAAATGCCGCCTAGTGCAATCCAAGGTATGATAGAAAGGCGAAAGGTTAAGTTATAAACTGTTTTTATGTGTGTTATGACACAACAGCCGACCCGGTCCTAAAGCCCCCCCAAACCACTCACTACACCCTAAACCCTAAACCCTAAACCCTAAACCCTAAACCCTAAACCCCAAACCACTCACTACACCCTAGAACCATCGAGACCCGAGATCCTCAGCAGTTGTAGGTTGCTGGGTCGGAGCTCAGCGTTGAGGAGCTGTGCGTGGGATCCATCGTTCGGACCATTTGAGGTCTTAGGACTAGTAATGTGTAATAGATGATATATAGTACATAAACACTGGTTAACACAAACTATTTACAGCAAAATATAATGTTTTATATATAGAGGTCATGGTTTTTAAGAGTTTAAGGACTCACGGCCTTGTGAATTTCATCTTTTTCGGTTTTGGGCTGAGGATTCAAGGCCTTGGGAGCTGATGAAGGCTCAGAGTTGTGCGAGTTTGGGGCTCAGGGCGTAAACCCTAAGCCTTTTTTTTTTTTGGGGGGGGGGG